TTAAAATTATTATTTAATATATGTTTGCGTATGTTATCAAGTTACCACAATGAAATTAATGGCAATGGCAAAGGCAAAGGTGAAATGATGATAGAAAAAAAAAAAAAAAAAAAAAATAAAAGAAGAAAAAAAAAGGTAAAAAAAAGGAAGGTGACGCGTGTGGTTGAGACATAGGAAACCTTGCCCTAATTACAGGGAAAAGGGAGTGGCAAAGGAGAGTAAGATATAAAGTAGTTTCAAGACATCTATATATATATATATATATACAGGACCCCATCCTCATCGTTCCTCATTCTGTTCCGGTTAGGACACAGAAAGAGCCCTGGGATTTCCCCTTAGTAGAACGAACGTAGGCTCTAACACGTACTTCCTTTCCACTTCTATACAGGTATAAAATATACAGGTGTCTCTCCTCGTATTGAAAGAGAAAGAGAGACGGATATAGAGTTAGTAGAATTTGCTGGGTACACTTTTGAGCTCATTGGATTCTATGTGAAACGTAGTTTTGAGCAAAACCTAGGCGGCAGCAGGAACCCCAAGCCTGCGTGTAACTTCGCACGCTCGACACAGGGTCACCATGGTAACGGGAACGTTGGCTAGCTCTCTCTTTTGCTTCCTCCTTGCACCCCTCGCAATCTAACCCCTTTAGCTCCCCTTTCCTCCCTCAACCACCCGTCCCATCCCGTCCCCCTCCTCATTCCACCCCTCATTCCACCCCTCCTTTCAGCACCGGCCCCTTCTGGAGCTTTACTCGAGTCGAGTCGAGCAGAGTGCAGCAGGATTTCATCCCTCTATCCAGCAGCCGCAGCATCGGGGCGGCTCCCGTCGTGAAGCGCAGACGTTCCTTTTTCCGGTTGACCCAGGTCGCGTTCTTACACTAGCAATCAAATCTCATTTTCGTATTTAATTTTCTGAAAAAAAAAAAGAAAGAGATTCGTCCTTCCGAGAAGTATTCTTATAATATAAAATTATCGAGAGAAAGAGGTTAGTTGCAACTGAGTTAACGATAATTCGGTTGAATTGTGCATCTACTGTTGACCTTGAAACTTGGAAGTGGTCCTCATAGAAGGAGAGAGAGAGAGAGAGAATCACGTGATCTAATAAATAGCATCTATATATTTGAAAAGGTGTATGAATTATTTGACCAAGCTTGAAAGAAGCTTCTTTATGAAGATTGTTAAAAGTTCAATTACTCGTCTCTGGGCGCCTGTACAATGTGGACCAGAGATATGCGGCTGACAACAGTTTGTAACAGCAGCAACAGCAACAGCAGAAGAAGAAAAAGAAGAAGAAGTAAAAGCAGTTTCGAAAAGATATCGGTTTTTCATGTATTATTTTTCTCGTCTCACCAGGAAGAGGGACGAAGATATAATAAGATTAAGAGGACGAGAAAAAGATTGTTGTTGGAGGAGAGTAGATGTAACAAGGTTGAAGAAGAAAAGGCGGTGGCCGATTCGTTTGTATGAAACAGCAGCAGCAGCAGCAGCGCATGAGAGACACGTGTCGTGTTTTATACTATACTATATTATTCGTGAAAAGATATCTACAGATTTCTATATTATCGACGCCAATTTATAATCGTAAGATTATATATATATATATACGGTGGATATATTAATTAATATATTATAATCATACAAAATGATTTATTTTTCTTAGCTCGTTGTAAATTGTTTTATGAAAACCGTGTCGTTCCTATAAAAATTACGCTCAGGGTTTAAAACGAAGCGATAATTAAATAGAAAGAAGAAAGAAAGAAAGAAAAAGAAAAAATAATAATAATATACATATTTTTCGAATAAGTCCTGCCTATTATTATATTTACGTGCTGGCACTATAATTAATTATTTCGTTAATAGAAAATAAAAATAGATTGAAATTTATTCTATTAATTAACGAATTATATAAAATAATGACTAGCTCGAATAACAGCACCCTGTCGCGTGCTTGGCTTCGTGCAAATTGTTGCCGTTGCAGTGATTCAAGACAGGATAATATGAACAATAATCTCAAGGATGAAACACCATTGAGAGAAGAAACCGAAACGCTTTTGCACCGTATCGCGTTCACCGTTTGGCACACAGCCCTGCACATCGAAAGAGAGGTGTGTCATTTTCACCCCATCACCTCCCCCACCCCTCATCCCCTTCTTCTTCTTCTTCCCCTTACTTTTCTATCTTCTTCTTACTTTTTTTCCTTTATTTTTCTTTTTTCTACGTGCAAATCCGACACTACGTTCCAAGAGTATATGGTACGGTGCCAAATGTCACGTCGTTTATTAATTACCACGGTCCTTTCAAAATTGTTCTAATATTTCAATGTTGTATTTGGAATAAAAGATGTGATCGTTTAACAAAATTAAAAAAAAAAAAAGAAAGACGAAAAAACTTATTCGCTTTAGTTGAAAATAAAATTTCAATAATTACGTATCATGCAATACTACGAACACTTACAAATAGCATTTACGCGCGTATGGAGTGTGGTCTCTCTCGTATTATGAATAATTAAATTTCAAATGCGACGACGTTAATAGTCTGTCGCAATTATAAACTAAACAATACTGTTATTTCTTTCTCGATAATAAAACGTCAACGAAAGAAAAGAAAAAAAAAGTCTAAACTGAAAGAAACGAAATGAAAAGAAAAGAAATCTGTTTATAATTAACAAATGACAAAAGAACTTTTTTTTCGTATGTTTCAGCACAATGGGGGTTACGAATCACAGACGAAAAATGTTAATACCATCGCGAGAAACAAGCAACAACAGCAACTACTTATGCAACAACACCAACAACACCAACATCAGTTACATCAACAACAGGTGAGGCCAGAAAGAAAATATGGTAATATGAAAAAGTATTTTTTTGTTGTTTTGTTTTCTTCTTTATGAGGTTTAAAATCAAACAACTATTTGCATAACGTTATTAATTTTTTTATGCAATCTCTAGTCTTCCGTTTCTTTTTTTTTTTTCCAAAATACCAAAATACAGAATGAAATTTATTCGAAAGATAATTCAGCAAACAAATCAAAAATAGATATAGCAAAATGTATGTTAGAGAAAATTGGATGTTAACATGAATGGTAATACACACATATAACAGTCTTTATCATATCCAGAACAAACTGCATATACCCAACCTTACTACAACGAAACACATTCGTTCTAAAGTACTATAACTCTGGTTCATTTCGTATTTCCCATAATATCATCATACTTGCGGTAACTTTACTATTTAATCTAAAAAAAAACAATTTCACTTACATACATTTCACGTATGATTTCAATGAGGATCGAAGCATATCATTTTAAAGAATTATTTTCATTTTCGAAATATATTTAAAAATCTAATTGCCTTTTCTTTATATTCTTTTTTTAAATCTAAATAGGCAACCACCTATGTGTTTATACGTAATAAATATTAAAATAACGGGACACGAACTTTCGAAACAGCAATCCCATACAACTTAACAAGATATCTTTTGAAAACTTGGTACAATTGCGTAAACAAATTATATGAGGGTTTCGTTTTTTTTTTTTTTCTTTTTTTTTTTACTTCAGTCCTCGTTATTGTTCCCTATAATTGAATTGTAAATTTTATCGTTTAGATTAGAATACATACGATTTGAAATGTAGCAAATGCATGGGTACCATGCATTATTATTAGTATGTCAAAAGTTTATAGCAATTCCTATATTACCACCTTTCTTATTCTCATCTCAGCAAGTTAATCTCGATTCTATAATAAGTAATTTGAAATCTAAAGAGGCCGACTTTATCATTCATTCGTAAATGTCTTATAGTAGCGGCACGACTATTCCTCGCTTCTATTTATCTTCAAACGAGCCTTTCGAATCGTTAGACGTGCTATTAACCGAGCTCCTTGCTAAACTCTATTACCTTCTAATCTTATCGAGCTACGATACGAGTCTAGAACGAAACGCGCGTGTATCATAAACCAGAAGATGAAAATATATTTTAAATAGAATAATTACATACCCTCTATATAAGTTTATCTTCATATCTAACATTTCTATCTCTCTCCTAAAAGATTATTTTTCATTAATATGCAATTTTATATATTTTAAATATATGCAAAGTAAATTTTAAATGTTATATTTATGTTACAACAATACTCCTTTATTTTATTATATTTTTTTTTGTTTTTTATTTAATCAATATTAATCTATCCGAAAATAAATTATTGTTTTTTTTTTCCATAATTACGATAAACTCGTTTTCCATATTATCAAAATGTAGTCATGCTTTTATCCGCATTTTATTTTATTGTTTTTTTTTCTTTTTTGTATTAACATAAGTCATTAGAGAAGAATGAATCTTTTTCTAGCATTGGAAACTAACTTCCAAGAAAGTTTATAGTCTTCGATAGGAATTCACGATTTATTCGGTTTCTTAAGTACCTTAATAAATATTCAATATTGAAACAACTAGTCAAATATACATATATATATATATATATACACGTTAACGTTAATTTGTGAAATTTCTTTTAGATATATTTTGTAAAAGAAAAAAAGTCTAGTTATTTCGAGTAAAATCTAAGCTTTTCAAAATTTAACTTAATTATACAATTTAACGTTGAACATACATATATAAACGTATGCACATGTGTATGTATATCACTCACCAACAGTACTACACATAATCATTCGAATATGCATATCATTTGCATAGTAAAAAAACACACACGCACGTATGCACACGTATACGCGAAATAAATTAGACAATGTATTATATTCGAAAGACACCGAATAATAATCACCTTTCTCGAAGAACACAGAAGTCAATGTGTTCACAATTTCAACAAAAATATTCTTAATAGAATAACAATAACAACATTGGAATATAGGCATCGTATATGTAACGTATGTACATATGTATGTATAAACAAAACATTGAACGGTTCTTTCGATTAGTTTAACCTTCCCTTCTCAGTCGTCATTCATCTCAGCTTCCGACCAGACGTATTCGAACGTATTCCTGTTATATAGGTATTATACATTTTTTTACATCATTTATCTTCTCATTTACATTAGATACAATGTTTTATATTCTTCTTTATTTTAACGATCCTCCGATTAATAATATTTCAATAATTAATCTTGTTATATATATTCCGTTTTTACATACATCACTCGCAATTGAATATTTTTTTAATATCGTTATATTTTTTTAATATCTCTTGACGTTAGAAGAAAATTAATGCGTGTATAATAAAAAACAAAAAATCACTCTCTAACGCAGTATAATATTAACATATTTATTTTAGGTGGATCATGTGAAGGATTAAAAAGGAATTTTAAATTTTAAAATACTTTGATAAATTAATAGAAATATGTGATGATATACTTAATAATTTTTTTTTTATTGATAGGATCAATTGATTACATAGATTAAATAGAATCGAATTTTGAATATTTTCATTTTAGATAATTTCTAAGAGATATCTATATAAATACGCGTAAAAATTTATTGATCAAATTTGGTAACACGACTAAAATAAAAAAAAAAAAAACAAAGTAATAAAAACCGATTAATAAATATATCAAAGACGAGCAAATATTTGCTGGGCGCAATTTATTATTTTTATAAAATAATAAAAAAAGAAAAAAAAAAAAAAGAAAGAAGATGTGTGTGACGCGAAAAAAGGGATGAGAAGTTTTATAGTGATAGTGCTTAAGAACGTATCTACCTAGCTACTCTCAGGTGATTTTATTATAAGCTCTTTTTAATATAACGCTACTAGATTACCCGTAGGGCCTTTGCTCGACGTTTTCCGCAGACTTTAAACGTCGATGTATAAAGAAAATTATTCGTTGAAACGGCAATAAGATAGAGTATTATACGAACCATGTTACTATCCTATCGATTTATCAGTACGATAACACACGAGGTACTACGTTTGATACTGTAAGCAGTATATGTAATTTATTCAAGAAAAACTTTTGAGCAAAAGGTTTGCTTACTCAAAAAAAAAAAAAATAAAAAATGATATACCGAGTAATTATGACTAATTAAAGGCTTAACCGATATTATTTTGTAAATAATACAAATGAAAGTGGGGGGGGGGCGTAGGAAATCACCCCCATTTTTAACAATTTATTTTCATATATTTATTTATTCGTTCGTTCGTTCGTTTAATTTTTTTGCCATGTAGAAAAATTGTATATTTCAAACTTTGCCAAAGGTATTCATACAAAATTTTCAAATATTATATTTACCAATTATTTATTTATTTATTTATTTTAAATATGAGATATATATATATATATGTACCGTTAATTAACAGAAATTTTGCAACATTTCATTCATTTTATTCGATAATGTGAGGATCCATATATTATATATAATGAAAGAAAATTCTAATAAAAAAGAAACAAAAGAAAAGGTATATAAAATATATACCTATATATACATGTACTGTAGTATTAAATTTCCAATTAGAAATAAAACGTTGTCAATTAGGTGGATTAACGATAATTGACATTAGTCGCGCAGTTTAACGTTAGCACGAGCATCATGGACCCGAACAATTGCTCCCAATTAATCGCGTGGGGTAATAATTATTATTTTTTCACTAGTCACACTTTCTTTTTTCGATTGTCTACCATTACACACATACGTTTAATATATATATATATACAATTGTTCCTTAACCTTTTTCTTTTTTTTTTTTTTTCTATTATTCTTGGCATCATACGTCTTCAATACTTTTTTTTGTATTATACATATTGTTCATGAGAATATAATCCAAATTATTTTTCTAGAATTTTTATTAAATTTATATAAATATTATTCGTTTAAGAAAGAATTACAAAAGAATTATTTTATATGATAGAAAAAAAAAAAAAGGTATCATAATTTCGTTTTATAATCATCTTCGTTTAAACTAGCAATAAATATACTTCATCGTATTATACTCGCCAAGAGCGAGAAATGAAATTTACGAGCGTAATTATTGCACTCTCTTTCTCTTTCTCACACACAACACACATACATTCACTCACTCTCTCTCTCTCTCTCTCTTTCTCTCTTTCTCTTTTTCTATGTGAGAATTTCTAACGTTTCATTCGACGACAACGATCGATCTCAATTAATTAGACGATAATTATAGTAAGCACGTTATTTACAGACAGACTATACCATGTTACGACAGAACATTGACTATATCGAGATACTTCAACGAGAAATGACGTCGATTCAATAAATTCTCGAGATCGGCTTGAGCTTTTAAAGAGTCGATCGAGTTCACTCTCGAATCGAAAGAGAAAGAGAGAGAGAGAGAGAGAATGTATTTATGTGGGTGTCTCTTCCTACTCAAAGCGTAACGTTCTCGTTTCTATGCGTTAGTACCATAAAATCACCTTGTACCGGTTCGTTTAATACGATTTCTGCACTTTTACTTAAACGATTGCACATGTGTATGTAAGTAAGTGTTTTAACGTAAACGGTATATATATATTTAAACTTACATCATTTTACAGCATAGATGAACAAGATTTTAGAACAATTTGATTAGAAATTTTTCTAATAGAATGTAGATATATCGTGTCGTGAAAAATTTCAAATCGATTTGTTATATATTTTATCGTGTGTACGACGATACAGAGAATAATATAGATATATTAAAACGTACACAATAAAACATGCTATCGCGTGATTAAATATAGAAGATATAAGTATATTAATTATGCACGATAATTATGAAGATAAACTTTATACAATTAATCGAACAATAGAGAATTATATATTTTATGATTTATTTTACATTATAATTAATATAAATGTAATATCTCCAAAAATCGAATAACAATCGATCCAATTTTGTTTTATTTATCCCTCTTCTGTTATAATAACGTGTATAATATTATCATTAATTACGATAATTAACTGTACCACACACATACACACATACATTTTGTATTTATTTTATTAAACTTAAAAAAAAGAGAGAAAGTGAGTGAGAGAGAGAGAGAGTAAAGTGCACTCGTAATTTTTGTTTCGATTCGTCGTAAGTTGTAAAAAAAAAAAAAAAAAAAAAAAAAAAAAAAATAAAAAATGATATACCGAGTAATTATGACTAATTAAAGGCTTAACCGATATTATTTTGTAAATAATACAAATGAAAGTGGNAGAAAGTGAGTGAGAGAGAGAGAGAGTAAAGTGCACTCGTAATTTTTGTTTCGATTCGTCGTAAGTTGTAAAAAAAAAAAAAAAAAAAAAAAAGAAAAGAACGGAAAATTCAAGTGTTAATATTAAATTCGAAAATTTTATCGAAGTAAGCGTATACGATCGTCATAAATAGAAGATACGATTGGTCAATGGAAAGTATCCCTTGACTTTCTTTCTCACTACATACATACATACATATATATAGTACACATATAAACGCATTATGGCAAACCATGAAAAAAACTATCAGCCGTTTTAGTTGACTTCTGCCGAATCTACGAGCGGTTTCACCCACGCAAGTGTACTCGGACTCGGCTGCAAATTGAAAATTTAACGATTGCCATGCCTCGTGCCGACAAAAAAGGCGTGTCGTTTGGTTGGTCGGTCGGTCACGATGGCTTTTCAAAAGGGCGATCATATACGTGGAAAAAGGAATATAAGAAATGTTGAATGTGTATTGCATATATTCATACACGGTGTGTATATGTGTTATGTTGGAAGGAGAGATTCGGCGGTCTCTAAAAATACGTTTATGGGATCATAACGCGGCAGCAAGTTCCTTCTTTCATGGGTCCAACGGGCCCATTTTTTCTTTTTTTTTTTTTTTTGTGTCAATGTAGTAGATGTAACACGTATATACGTGATCGTGTTCGAAAATGTGTAGTATGCTCATAAATCCCCCTACCACCGTTAGTCTCACGTGTAAAATTGCTATTACATCTTGAGCTCCTACCGCAGATGTCGTTTCATGGATTCGAGACCACTCCCGGACCGGTAGAAATGTCCTTCGTATTTCTCACGGTTACGGTCAGCCAATATAACTTGGAAAGAAAAAAAAAAGAAAAAGATTTCTTAATATGGGGAAAAATAAAGAAAGAAAGAAAGAAAGAAAGAAAGAGAGAAAGGTTATAACACCGTAAGATATTTCTTTCTTTCCTGGTATACTCAATACTTATTATTTTTTCTTGTTTCTTTGGAATAATTTTGTCGATAGAATCCATTTATTCGATTTACGATATTTCTATTATTTATCTAACATCACGAATTAACTGTGTATAATATCGTATTAAAATTAAATATCACACATTTATCCCCGTATAAATATTTAATATCGTTAATTATTTTTAGAATAATCGTGATTAAAATAATTTCATTGGATAAATTTGTGATGTTATTTATATTTCCAAAATTAAATTAATACATTTCTATGTGATAATTAATACAATTTTATTATTTTTTCTTTTTCAATAAATCTTGTAAAATTTAATTCGAATATATTTAGACTTAAATATTGAAATAACACATTAATTACAAATAATTCGACTTGACCAATAATTAATAATACAAAATTAACTTTCCAATTAAGATAGGAAAAAATAATACAAACAAATAATAATGACATTCCTAAAGCATCGGATCTAAAGACGATTGCATACGTGGTATGCAATTTAAGATAGAAACTTAAGTAAAGATATGATCGCGTCGAAGCACGTTGTCTATACAATCACGAAATACAGATAAACAAATACATAGAGGGATACCTTACATACATACACATATATATATATATCTATTTATCTATTTCTAAGTCACGCTTCTATGCTCGTTAAGAGAAGTCACGCTACCTGCGCGAATTCGTTACATCATACGCGAATATGTACCAAGTCGAGGACGAACATACATACGCATACTAAAGTCAAGACACAGGATATGCACTTACATGCACGCACATCTACACACATCTATCTATCTATCTATCTTTACATACACACACACACATATATTATATATACATAAAAACGTAAAGTTAAAATGCACGCGACAAACTCAAAGCCAAAAGATGTCTATAATACTACATATACATATATATATATATACACATATATGACAACTACTACGTTGACTACTACGTTTCTACGACTACTCGTAATCCGTTGCTGCATAATTTTCTCGCGGGTAACTCCTATCTAGTAGAACCAGACGAAATACAATACTCGACAGTGCGTCGAGGAACGCGGTGCCATCATCCACCTCCTATCTGTACTTCTCTCTCTTTCTTCTTTGTATCTTTTCCCCTTTTATTATTCCTTCTTTATTTTTTATTTATTTATTTATCTCCTTCTTTCACTCTATACCAATCCTATCTATCTATCTATCTATCTATCTTTCTATTACGTTTTATCTTTCAACTCAGTTTCTTTCCCCCCTCATCCCTCCCCCATCATCAACCCCGTGACATCAACCACTTTCGATCTATCTCTTTACTCTTATCTTCAATAATTCTCTATTATTCCTAGCCAAAAAAGAAAAAGAAAGAAATAAATAAAAATAGGAAAAGGAAAATATATAAACGTAGTTAAAGTTGTCGACTAGGACACGACGCGAACTCTGGGATTACATGTCTGCTTATCGTGATATCATAAATTCGACGTCATGCGGCAGTGTTATGTCATCAGGATCATTTACGCACCCAAGTATACGAAGGTGATAAAAATACCTTTGAAGAAAATATTATTTTTACGTGTATATGATTGATAAGGGAAAAAACATTTGATTTGATTGTTTCGATTAATAATTGTACGAGAACGAGAATTTATGTGATTGTCGTTGTATTCCTTTCTTCTCTCCTACTGGTGAAAACAATAAGGTTTATAAAAGATTGTATATTTTTAAATCAAAAGAATTATTTATACATTTTTAATAGCAAATACGATAAATGATTTAATTGATTTTATTTTACGTTTGAAAATAAAACGCATTAATTTTCTTTTTGTAAATATAATTAAAAACTCCGAATATAATAATAAAATATTATTCCAAT